CTTGTTGTTGGGACAAATTGACCCACCTTTTATTATTATAATCTATGTTTGTCTGTCTTTCTGTCCATTGTCTGTCTGATATCTGCCCATATATTTTTGTCCTCAACGTATACATCGTAATTGTTAAGATAATTTCTTGAAATGTATATCGATGTGTTTGGGTCCAAGCTCTAATGAACGCTCTAAAGTTGGTCGTCCATTTCTCATATAACGGCTTATTTCGAAAAGTTGTTACATGAAAAAATGTAAGACGTTATTGTAAGTCGTTTTAAGCGAAATGGTTGCGGGTACGCATTAATCGGTCATGTCCATTTTTAAAGCTTTTACTAGGAAAGGCGGATTTTTCATTGTTTCGAAAATAACCAGATTACCACCCTATGGCGCTTTCTAAAAATAATAAGAATTTTTTTATTACAGACGATATCTATGCATCAATTATTGAAATTGTTAAACGTGTGTTTGGATATGCCCATTAAAAGTGCTCCATTAATACTGTCGTGATGTCCAAACTAGAAAATATTCGTTTCATTCATGGATCAGTTCTTATTTGAAAAATTCATCCTATTTTCTTTCAAACAGCGAGAGTTTTCCACTTTAAAACGTGTATCAATCCTTTTTCGCCTGTCACTGCTAAGGTTCAACCTCCATACCTTCATACCATGTTTTATGTTCCACTTCAACAGGTACTTCTAATTATTATACATACTTTCGAATTAGATAAAAGAAGAAAATGTTAAGAATTCCCCGAATCGAAAAATAAGCTCATGATATGCGTAAAAATAAGCAAACTCTTAATGGCTTTGCTGCTTCTAGCATTAAATTCACTTGTTGAGTTTCATATGTAAACAACAACTTAAACAAGATGCACTTGTTGATTAAGAAACAACGAAAAAAATGTATTTTCAAAATGCTTATCGGTACAAGAGGTGTCAAAGGAAAATACTTCTTCAAGCATATTCGCCTTGATAGCATAGCACGATTGCCAAAACTGTTTTATTTATAATTTTTGAGTTTATGACACAAAAATTTTTTGGCAAAGAATAGTACAAAAGTTTTGATAATGAAAACTGTTTCGGGGTCGTTTTATAAGTATGTGCTTTTATTTATATCGTCAATTTAATTATATATATAAATTTTAAATAATGATGACTTTGTAATTAAAAAGTATTTATTGATAGTGAAGAGAAATGATTTTAATTGTAAGGTTGCTGGGTTCGTTCTTGTAATGTGTTTTTCATTCAATGCTTACACAGAGACGCAGAGAACTTTTTTATTCGATATGTGGTTTTTCCTTTTTCTTTTTTTTTACTTTTTATGCTACTCTTGCCACTCTTCGGCATCTCATTGGGATACGACCAGTTGAAGAGCAAAAATACGTTGTAAACAAACAAAAAAAATAACAATAATATCTAAGCACGTGTTAACGCGTATGTACAGGCACTTCACACAGTTCACGACAAAACAGTTTATAACTTTCGATAAAGTAAATATATTGTGCTTTGTTTTTTTTTCCATATTCCATACTACTTGTGGTCCAAGAGAATGTTAAGTTTATGGGAGTGTATGCAACGCCCAGGGGGAGGTGGGATAGACTCATCTTTGCCCATCTTGTCTTCTTTTTCCTTTTCGCTCAACCTACAGCGAAAATTTTAGTCCAAAGGTGAACGTTGCTGAAAGTGGTTCGGATCGGACAACTGTTTCAAGCGCTTCCCAAATGGCACCTTGTTTTGAAAAGTCGTTATGCAAAAAACTATACAAGCGAAATTGTGTGGGTGTGTTTAAAGCTGCGCCGTTGCCCACTATAGTCTTTTTACTCGTCTTGACATACGAAGTAGGCGGAATTCTTACAATACCCAACATAGGATGGCAAGTGCATTGAGCTTTTCAAACTCTTTTAGGGTTTTACGCTCCATTTACGCTTATTTATAAGCATTAAGCTTGGATCTCAATGTTTTGGTGACATATTTTTGGTGACCGATCTTGGCAATCAACGAAATCTGATATTATTTTATTACAATTCATGTCTGATCAGAAAATTTGAAATCTACTGCTTAGCATATTTGGCGTAATTGGTTTTCCGTTACCTTGTCAAGTGTCGAATTTGTTTTATAGTCGAGCTATTTTAATTAGTTTCTTAGAATCACATAACTTGTTACGTAAGCAATACTAGAATATATATCAAGTATTTGCACAATTATAGTCGAAAAGGGTTGGGTCCAAGCTTATTTGTAAAGTACCTTAACTAGACAAAATAATTTATCTGCTATAAGCGTAGCTCTATTAAGACTACCCCGCTTCGTTACTGCATTAAAGACGACGAAAGTATTCTACTAAATTACAATCGTATTCTGGCATTATCATCGGCAACAAATATGTAAAGAAAACGTTATGTTTTTTTTATCAATTTTTAGTCAAATTTGATATGCCGAAGCAATAGTCACAGTAAAATGCTCTTATATCAATTGGTTCAAGTCGCGAGAACCACATTGTGACTAACGACGTCTCTGACGGTTGTTAGATTGATATCAAGGGATAATAACACTATAACAGTCTAAAAACAAGTAAAGACATCGGCAATGGTTCATCAGTAAAACTTCAAATAGGGCATTATGTGAAGAGTGGTTGAAAAAGTGGTCCAATTGTTTTTTTCCTCGGGCCATAATATGTTTGTTTACCAAATAACTTGTTGTTTGAACACAAAGATATATGAACAGCCATCAGACGGACAGAGAAACACACTCACTTTCTGAATTGATCGGTATAACATAAATTGGATTCTTCTGCGTGTTGTATATATTCACACAAACTTAATATGCTTTTATACCTAAAGTGGTGCACGGTATAAAAAGTGTTTTTCTTAAAAATATTTTTGGAATGGAAGCAACGTTAATAGAATAATAATATTCGAGGAATTTATGAAGCATATATTTAAACATAAAAAAAAAACAAATTATTTTTGAAAAATACTAAAAAATGGCAATAACTTTAACGCGTTTTTGCTGCGAATTTTCATCTAACGAAAATCCATTTAATCTTCTTGTCTCCAACTATTTGCGGTACGTAGAGAACTTAAGAATTATTTACTTTTATTGCATTTGAGTTCAAATTCTTAATGTTTTGATCAAAAACGTCGATCTTTTGTTAATGCAAAATGTTTAACCCTTACGTAGCGCGATAGAAAGCCTTATCTTAAATATACTACAAAAACTCGGACGAAAAACTCGTATGAGAATTTTAATAGTCGTGTTCGTTCCTTTATAGTTTTGATATGTGTCGTATCAACATCCCTTTTTGTTGCACTTATTCGAAATCCCACTACCATACAAATATCCTTACGTGTTCGAACGGTCTTTGCTCGAACGTAGATCTATTAAAGACAGGATCTACACTTTCTATTTAGAGCAATTGCAGAACCGACGCAAGAACAAATGAACATTCAAAACTTTATTCCAAACATTGAATTTCTTGGCAGAAGCACTTTTTGAGATTCTTATGCTGATCGATTCAACAATCATCTCAATGAAGTCCTGCTAACGAATGTTGGTTTTTAAAGACAACTTTTTATGTATTACAGACTTTAGATATCGACAGCTAAGACATTATTATGGAAGGAGATGTTTGTTTTATCCGGGCTGTTTCTTTAGTTTGATTGGGGAAAAGCGTGAAATTTCAAGGAAAAAATTTGCTTCAGGTAATGAATTTATAATTAATGGTAGCTTTTGAGTAAAAACAAGTAAGAAAATTATATTCCGTCATGACCGAATCTTTTGTATCTATCAACGTGATCTTAAAAAAGACTAAAAGTAGGAATCGAAGTAAATTTTCATACTCTATAATATTAGGTGGGCGCGGCTGATTTTTTTCCATTCTCAGAATAAAAGTGGAAATTTATTATGTATGTGTATGGTTTGTGAGTACCACGGAAAGCAACGGCGTTCAAAGTTTTTGTTGTAAAGGCGTGCGGGCGATGTAGACGTGTGCTTTGACGAATTGGATCACTTTCAAATTCTTTTACATCTTCATTCTTTCGAACGGGGGAAAATTTACAACAGCCATTACACAGACGGACCGGCGGATATGCTTGAGATTGTATATAGTTGGTGGGATCGCCGAAACTTTCTTCTGAACGTTGCAAACGTTTTGACAAATATCCTTCGAACGTACTTCGGTGATGGGTATAACAACAGTGCATAAATGAAAATTTCACTTTCTCTCTTTCTCTCTCTCTCTCTCTGTAGGAACTTTTGATTTGTTTTCAAAGGTCAAGAAAGCCGACAAATCCAATTTATGCTTTCGTCCGCTACGAAGGGACCTATTGAAAATCGGAATGCTTCGCAATTGAGCCCGTCTACTTCATAAAAGTAAAAACGATAACACATTTAAGTGTTTGAAAGAATTACTACATAAATGACTCTTGACGTAGAACCACAAATTCCTGGGATAAGGGATTTCCCCATTTATTGGATTTTATTCAAATGCTAGAAAGTATCTATGTTCTAAGTTCATTCCCGTACGTACCCCCTGTTAGCAATACATTTCTCTTATTTGTTTTTTAACAAAACTCTTGCTCTGCAAAATACTATTAAAAAACTTTCGATCACGTTTTCCGTCTACACTTCGCAATATATTTTATTATAATGGATGGGCTTTTTCATTCTGTGTAAAAGTTGAGATAATTTTGCGATCCACTGTATGTAAATCAGTTGTCACACTAAAGTTTTAAAGAGAGAGAGATTTTGAGATGACAATTTGCTTTCATAAAATATAATATTCACATGAAGGAATTTCAATTCGAGCGATAAGTTTTTCTGAGTAATGAAAAAGTAAAGGAAAGTAAAAGAACAGTATTGTACATAAACTTATGTGGGTGTATGTAACCAATGGGAAAACATTAATAATAAATACATATTATATATGATATATAAATATATACATATTTAAACACTTAACAAAATATATATTTGAAAACGCACGCAGAAAATTGAGTTTAAAGCACAAACCTGAAAATTTGTATCTTTTAGCGAATTTGACTACAACGACAATGTAACGCATAAAAGCAAGCATACATTAATAGATGATGGTCTCACTGAGCACTGTTCAAGATCGCGTAAAATATGATAAAAAAAAAAAAATTTTTTTTAAAAAAACAAACAAACAAACAAAAAGTTTTCTTCTTTTT